ACACATTTGACTAATGAAATACACCTGGCCTGAAATAATTTTTGGCAGAAGCCAGTAGTAAACATTAATTGTGAAAATAAGTCTAGCACATCAAAACTACTGAGTTAGGAAAATAAAATATTATACTAAAAGCAAACAAGCCCACCACTTAAAAAAATAAAGTTTGGAGCATTAGGAAGGCTCAGAAATCAAGGTCAAGGTATTCAACCCACTTTTTCTGATCTACAAAACAAGTTTTTTTACCTACAAGGGGAGCCGTGCAAATCAAATATTAAAGTTAAAGATATTGGAACAAAACAATGGAAACCAGCACATTAAAGTACATCACATCTGTGCCACTATACCAAGAGCAGAACCGCAGCAATTATTCAATTGAATAATTCAAATGACCGTAATCACAATTCTCGCTTTTATTCAACTAAAAAACACGAAAAAGAACTGAGGGGAAGAAAGTTTTCCTTCCCTTCCACATTTGCACTCCTATTTATAAGTTCTTTCAGCCAGAAGGTAATTAGCTACATGCGAGAGACCCTCTGGGTACAGGGTTTTTGCACAAACACATTGGAGCACGAGGCTTAAAATTTCAAAAGCCAGGGCATGTGAGTCATGAGGTTGCCCTGATGCACAGCCTAAAACACTCAGCTAATGCCTGACCCAAAAGATTACAAATGCATTGTCTGCACTCATTGCACTCATGATCCCAGTCTCAGAACATGATGCAGACGTGCTGTGGAGTAGCTGGACCAGTCCCACTTCTCTTGCAATGCTGCAACAGTGTGGCTCTCTGAGCTGAGACGGAGGAGAAACACACACCAGCTATTTGAAATTGGGTAAGCATTGCACGGGAGAACTGGGAATAGTTGTTTACTGCCTGGATCTGTGGCTCTGTGCTGAAATGCAGGAGCTGCAGGACAGTAGCTGCTGCGTTGAGAGAATCCCAACGCCCTGCACAGGAGGGGAGAGGGGGACTCACCTGCAGCTGCTTCCACCTGCTGTTCAGGTGTTCCAGGGCTCGGGCGTTCTCCCCGGACAGGTGCACGTCTGAGATGGCCAGCTGGTGAGCCAGGTCGTTAATGTGCTTCATGCCTTCCTTCACTTGAGACAATTCCTCCTTAAAGAGCTGAGGGGGGAAACAGAAAGAAACACAGCAGCCATCAGAATGGGAGAAACCCCTGCAGCCCCACCCAGCAGCCAAACAAGCAGGTCAGTTCCAACCATGGCTTATGACAAAAAAATACATTTTTATTAAATACTGACACTGGTCTGGAAATACACCTGCTCTTATTTCCTTTAAACAGACCAGGTTATTTGTGCCCATTTATTGTGTGGTAATTTAAAGACAGAATAGAAGAAGGGGGGTCTATATAGCCTGGCCTGTTTGTTTGTTCATTAGCAGCTTATTTAGGCTTTCTGTCCTTTGAAGGTTTAGCTAATTTGTGTTATTACACATATTCTGCAAGATAATTTCTGGGCCGTTTCTTCTCAGAAAGTTATTTTGAAGTGTAAAGGTTCCAGATATTTTCACGAAAAAGTATTGGAGCTGCTCAGACATACAGTACAGTCAGGACACAGCGCTGCACTGACAGGTCACAGGACATTTTGTACCATTAATCCCCCATAATGCTTCAAACAGTAAGGAAACGGCACCCGAACGAGAAGTGCAACAGGTGAGACGTTTAAAGAGCTGGGAAGCGCGGACCTTGGTGGCGTCGATGTGGTCCTGCAGGGAGTCGATGAAGAGGTCCCCCACGGGCTCCCAGGCCTCCCGCACGCCCTCCGCCTGCTCCAGCGCCCCGCCCAGCTCCTCCATGGTGCCCTGCAGCTCCAGCAGCCTCTCCAGCGTGCGCTCCATGTGCCGGTGCCGGTCGAGGCAGCGCGCCGTCAGCTTCTCCCACAGGTCGCTGGCCACGTTGGCCTGCTTCCACACCGAGCGGCTGACATTCTGGATCCGCCGCCGCGGCGACACGTCTGCAACAGGCCACAGTCAGGCCCTGCCGCCTGGCATTGTGGGAACTGGAGCCACACCCATCACAGCCTCCTCAACAGGACATGAATGTGCAGGCCAAAGGCACAGCGTTGGTTATACTACTGCTGTGAGATATTCATTAGTGAACATCAAGCCCACAGAAATACTCATCCTTTATTTTACCATGACTAGCTGGATTAATATTCTACTTCCATTATTCAATTTTAAATACTGTTTTAATGTCTCTGAAAGTTTCAGGAATATAAACGGAGACTTGGGAGGATAGACGGCATGTCTTAGGAGAACAGTTTAACCAGCGACAGCAGCAGCATCAGTATGATAAAGATGGGGTTTTTCTCAGCTAGGCAAGCAGCTAATTTGTTAAATTTTATTACTTCTGACAAATCAAAGCCTAAATTAACCAAAAGGACAGGCCCTGCTCCCAAGCCGACCTTTGCTGTCAGCGAGCGTCTCCTCGGGCTCCTCGAAGGGGTGCTGGGACAGGAAGGCCTGGGCCGACTCCAGGACGGAGTAGATGTAGGGGCCTCTGGACTTCACATCCTCAATGAAGGCCTGCAGAGGAAACACAGCCTCCTCAGAAATAAATCCCAACATCACTCAGAACAAACTGCAGTTCCCCTTCTTCACAGGCAGCCACTTATAAAAACAGGCCTGCGATATGTCAAGATTATTATATGAAATCTCATGTATTACTCACAGGCCCAGTTAGTCACTCTATTCTCTGTTGTGTCATGTGGCTTTTAAAGCTTCCTTCGAACAACAGGAAAATATCTGCGCCTCTGGTGTGTTACCTCTAACACAACGTCCCGATGACAAGTCTCGCTCCTAGTTCAAACATATCACTCCGGTCAGTTTTTATATTTTGTAGGATTTCATGTTAAATGACAAAAACTTATTCAAAGATAAGCACCAGAATTAGAAATGATATTTACCGCACTTTTTAAGTAGAGCAATAACTGATCAGGTCTTACTCGAATGGTTTTCCTGGACTTCTACATTCAGATGAGCTTACTTGTAATGACAAGACATTTTAAGAAGAAAAAAGTCAAGACAGCTGATAATGTGTCAGTACATTTTACAATGGATTCATCTCATTGACCTTCTCATGCATCAGTTTATCAGGACCCTGGGGACCCCATTATATCCCACACAGTCCACCTGAACACTTGGCTAGACGATGTGCAGGCCCAGACTCCCTCTGCGCTCTGCTGATGTATCTCCGCACACACACGCATGTAGGTGAATGAGTACAGTTAACCTCAGATCAATAATTAAAGCTAACAGTGTTCTAATAACTTATAATTCTTTTACCAGAGCAGGATCCCTACCCTTGCCAGTCAAGAGTTTAAGCCACAGAGGAATGGAAAGCCCAACTCCACTCCTGTTTCACTTCTGTATCAATTGTGGATTAAAAAAGACAAGACCTGTTGACCTGCAGGGCTCTACCTCCAACCTCCACTTTAAGTTTTTTTCTATGGCTTTTTCCATTTTCTAAAGCTGCCCTTTGCAGCATCCCTAGTGAAGCCATAGATCAGGTTCAGGACAAAAAAAAAAACAACGTTTGTGAACAGCTGAGTACTGCATTGCTTCAAGTTAAAGCTTGCTAGTCTTCACGGATGTCAGTGGAGTTCGCAAATGAAGCCCGGGGAGTTTGCCAGGCAGCTCTGCAGAGGCAAGTGGTTTCCCTCTACCTGGTGGAATTCGCTCTGCTGCTGCACGGCCCCCACATCACCGCCGAGGGGCAGCTGGTCCGACAGCTCCTCGTCCTTCAGCGTTAGCCAGTCGATGAGCTCCTGCAGGGAGAGCTGCAGCTTCCCGCTGTTGTCCGAGAAGGCCTCCAGCCGGGCCCTGTGGAGAGGGACACGAGACACATCACCCTGGGCACCTGGCCGAACCCGGGCCCGACCGCCTTGCCCCGTCTGGAATTATTCAGCATTTCTCCGGCAGACCTGTCTGCCCCAGGCAGCTGACAGCAGGAAAGCACAGCTTCACAAAAAAGAAAAACAGAAAAGAATTCAATTGCAAAAATGTAACAGGTTTAAAATCTATAAAATACCAGGAACCTGCTACAGTGATATTACAGGAAAATGTATTTCAGAAACAGAAACTACCATCAAAAAAGAATCTATATATTTAGGATTACATAAAGTTGCATAGGATATATATCATGTATAATATTTTTTGGTATTGAACACAAAAATGGAGGTTGTGTTTGACTTGTATCAGGGCAGCAATGGTTCTCCTAAGTGAGGTATTAGTCATTTAGAGAGGCACTGGGTGATGTTTCGTGCAAGACACAGAGGGGAGGCAGTGTCATCTGCGCAGCCAGACACAGTGGAAGAGTGTTCCTGGGCTCCTGGCTGTGAGGCTGATGAGTCTCCATCAAGATCACAGCTGGGGGCGAGTGAGAGGGCACTGTGTTTTAATCACACTGCATCGCGCCGCTTGCAAGCAACAGTCTGGGGTTTCTCCAGGCGCCCTCCTGCCTTCCCAAGACAACCTGGTGTAATAAACCCTGCAGAATATCTCCAGGAAAACGGCTGTCCTCCCTTACAGTGCTAAATGGAATAAGGCACGTAAGGAAGTCGACATTTCATTCTCAGCCCAGAAAACAAATCTAAGTGCGAGTAACTACCAGAACACGCTGTTACTCAACCCAGTCTTAAAAAATGATATTTTTTTTTAGCAGAATAATTCTTCTCTGGGTTTTAATGAGTCAGTAGTTATTATTCACACGACTCCTTATTCAAAAAACAGAACCTGTGTTTTCAGGGAGAAAGAAGCACATCCCCTCACTGCACAATTCCGCTTGAGGTTATTTTGTTTTCTCACAGGTTAAAGGGAGAGCCAGTTAGCAGAGGAAAAGGAGGAGGTGGACAGAGAGGAGAAAGATGAAGGCGACAGCAACTGGATTAAAACATTCACAGTTGCACGCAGCAGAAAATGGATTTTATTGACATAATCCATCCATCCATTTCCTCAACCGCTCCATTCAGTACAGGGGCGTGGGGGAGCTAAATATTGAACTGCAATGTTGAGCTAAAATGCGAACACTAACAAGCTTGAGCGCATTACATAAGGAAGGATTTAAAGGTCAAACAGGTGCATGGAGTGCTTTTATTTGCTTTCTGCAGGACCAGAGTCAGCATCAGCTTCCCTGAATTTTAACCCTCAGCGTTTGAAAGGGGTAAAATGCTGAACTGAATGAATGGGATTCCTTTCTCTTCCGTAACAATGCAAGAGCTGGTCATCTCAGGAAAATAGGGAGCATCGGAGTACAAGAATACCAGGAGTGTAAAATAAAGCTTCTTGGGGTATGGAGGCCATTGTTCGGGCAGTCTGCCCTGCGGGAGGGATATGGCTCTGGCCGGAGACTCTGCTGGAGCTCTCGCAAAGCAAGCAGAGCCGAGCCGAGCAGAGCCGAGCCAGACCGACTCCAGCAGCAGGAGGGAGGGGAGCACGCTGTGACAGGAGAGGACGCATTTGACCAGCCTCTCCGGGGAGAAGCAGCCTGCCCCCCGAAACACAATCACAGGCCTCAGAGCACACCTGTGGCTTTACCACACGAGAACTTAGCAGTAGATGACAGAGATGTTAGAAGATCCAATTAATTCCCTTTCATCTGGAATATGCAGGGGTCTCTCTGGGGTAACACAAGTCCACTCGGCTTCATTAATATTCTGTGCAACAGGGTCATGTTTCAAGGAGTGAAGGGTTAAGGACTTACTGATCAGAAAAAAACCCTGGGTGGTAAGTGCAGTGTCAGATCCACAAGATAATATTTATCAGGGATCAAGTATTCTGGATTTTGAAAGGAGCTCTCTCTATATCCATCAGCAAATCACAGTTTAATACGGAGTCAACTCATTAACAGTATTATCACTAGTAAAGTAAAAGCAAATGGGACATTTTAATGGCATCAATGACGATGGGCTGACCCCCGAGTCTGAAAGCAGTTTCACTGCTAGTTCCTTTATAACACTGTGCTTTGCTGCATTTACAGTAGATGGTAGACATTAGAGAAACCATCACATTGTGCTGGGCACCATATCCCTGTCTTGAGAGTTCAGCTGTGTATAAGCCAGCAGGCTATTTAAATATCATTAACATAGTTTAGAAGTCATTTGTTTTTACATCACGCATTGAAGACATCCCCACTACAGGTATTTTAACCAAGACAATCTGTGTAGTCATTTATGAGAAAAATGTATGTGTAATTTAGGGTTTATCAAATTTGAAAAAATACTGAATTTAGCAATCCAAGAAATGAAATATTCTTGTGGAAAGAAAGTCCAGGAATCACATTCAGAGGACGTCATATTCTTCCCAGTCTTCAATTAACCACTCACTGAGGGAGTGTGAAAAACAGGCCTCTCTGAGTTCTGCTTCTAATTAAGGCTGAAGAAATAAATGAATTATTTTCATTCCTTCTGGAGTTCTCGCAGGATCCCTGTGGCTCTGCAGCTTTTTCTCCCTCCAGACATAAAAGCATCTGAACACAAGAAACCCAGAGCGCACAGAGCACACAGATTGACAGCCAGATTTAATCCTCAGTGAACCAACAGCACATTAACAGGAAATTATAAACACGACTTGTGACCTAAGCAAGCTCAGGCATCTATATTATCTTCATGGTATCTTCAACAGCCTCACCTCATTGTAAGCGGAGTTAATACTGAAAGTCGCTGTTGCTACACAACACAAAAATATCTACAATCCAGGTATATTCTTGCGCAGATATAAAAGAATAATAAAAACATTGCAGGATAAAAACAAATACAAGTGATGATTACAGAGCATTATGCATTGTGTGTGTGTGCCTTCACTGTGCTAAGAGAGTGCTTTGCACTGTTTCAGCCTTTTAGTACAGTTCCACTGGTGATCAAGCCCTCGTGCAGCTACACAATCAGGGAAGTAAGGCCTCAAGCTGCAGGCCAGGGCAGTAAAGATTTACCGTGGTATACCATGACAGAAAGAGACAATCATAGAGCAAAGCACAGTACCGTCCTGTTAACAGCAAATGAAAAGCACACAGAGATAAGAAAAATGTAGTGAGATTTGGAGGCTCTAGATATATACTAAAGATGGAAATGAGAAACACCTGTCCAGTTTTCCCACCATTAACTGTCATTTAAGTAGTTTGGACAAACCCTAATTATGGTAGAGAACCCTTTCTTGAGAAAAAAAACGAAGCATGCAGGTAAATGAATGGCCGAGGTTAGGGTTTGACCTGGTCCTGAACTTCTGTTTAAAAAGCCATAAGGGCCCAGAAAAACTCCACACAGCTCCAATAAACACAGCATTTTTTTCATAAGAGAGTTTACCCCCAGAGCTACAGGCTCTAACATGATGCTCTAACAAACAGGTCAGATTAAGACACTTTAAAAGACATTCGGCAGCACCGAGATAAACACTCCAGTGTCTTTAACCTCCAGGGTAGCAATTGAAAGTGTGTAGTTCAGACTTACTTTCTTCGGATTCACACTGCTCTTTACAGATACAGTATAGTTTTGAATTATTCATGAGATGGTAATTCCATGTTGATTTGTTCCATCATTAGAATCTGTGAAAATGTACAGATGTACTGTAGGAACATGCCATGTTCATTACGTAATACAATGTCTCCCTTTTGAAAGCAAAGAGCTTGTCCAGATTGCAGTTTTTTTTGTGCCTGGATCTTCCCTCAAGTGGTTTCATACCAGAGCTCCAACAACAGAATCATGTGCTCCCCTTCACCCCACTGATTAGCAGCTCTTTGATTGCTCTTTCCAATTAATCCTGTGGTAAGTGCCTTTTCAAAATGATGCTTTAGTGGGAAAACACTTCTCTGAATGTAGTTTCAGTGAACCCTGTGCATACACTTTTACTCAGCTGCTGTCATTTTAAAGATGGACACTCACATCATACATTCATTATGGTTATCCTGAGAGAGCCTTGTGTAATTTGATTACACAGGCTTTGCTTTCAGGGTGATTAAGAAGGAATCATAGCTGTAGTTTCTGGCTCGCTCAGCTTGCTGCAACTGCCTCCGAGTATTCCTGAGACGGCCGGCCCCCTCCCGCCTGGCCTGGGCGACTCGCACTGCACGCATACCTGCGCACACCTGCGCACACCTGGACAGCCCTCAAGCGTCTGAAAAATCATCCTCGCCTCGCTGAGGCCCTGCACGGAGAGGAGACATGCCAAAGCCTCCACATCCTTTTCAATCAATTTATTTAATATCTGTCGGGTAAAGTTAAGCATTTTGGAAACACATTCATACGCCATTTTTACAATGCAGCCCTGGACCGGACTGTGATTATGTGATGGTCATTTTACTGTGCTGGCAATATCGCAGGTAGCGGCAAGCTCAGCGGATGAAATCCAGACTCTGCTGCACAACCTTCTTGCAATATCTCACATCCACCCGCTGGAAGAAAAGACCTTTTAAAATATCGGTCCAAAAGGCATTCCATGAGTGAATGAAACATACAATATGCATGTCCCTTTCTTTATCTGCCAATGTCAGGAACCATGGTTGCAGACAGTAGATTCACTGTCAAAAATGATTCCCTCGCATCTCTTTCATATTTTTCTTTTCAGCCAGGCATCACAGATCCCATTCGCCGTGCATGTTGCAGCGGTCAGCTCGGCTGGGAGCATGCCCCCTGGTGGTCTCACCTGATGTTGTGGGACTTGCGCTTGATTTCGCTCCAGCACAGGTTCATCTCCGTGGCTCGGCGCTCCCGGCGCCCCCTGCTGTCTGTGTGCTATTCAGGGACCTCCTTCCGTTGCCTGGGTGCCCACTGACATCCCGGGCACAACAACCTTCCGGCAGCTGCGTGGGACACAAACCAGGAACAGGGATTTACAGATTGCACCCCTCACCGCCTCTCACTTCTCAGCCTTGTCCGGCAACAAGCAAGAATCCACAAGTCAACACCAGAACAGGGAGGAGCACCTGCACTCGTCAAGACAGCAGTGTCCTGAAGTCTTCATTTGAGCTCTGATCTTAGGACTTAGAGCAAAACCACGGCTCAAAACAAAGACCCAACACAAATCATACTAAACCGCAGGTCTGAACTTTCATTATCCACATGCTGCAGATCATTTCCATAACGCCACTCTGCCAGTCTCGGATATTGATCCTCTCATTGCAGCCACCTGAGCCAGAAGAGAAACCCTCTGCTAGGACAACAAGGAGAGGTGCTTGTTCTGATGTATTCGGACACATCGCTCCCATTGTAGGGTCTTCAGAGGGCTTCAGACTGCGGACAACACAAGGCCTACAACAGTCCCTTGCAGTACAGAGACTGGGCAGCAGTATCCCTCATTCAGAAATCTAACAGGATGTCCTCAGCCCTTGGCTGTTAAGCACTGAAGGCTGCAGCGAGTGAAACGCTTTCTAACATCAGCAGTGTACTATGTTTTGGAGAGTATGATAATTACATAAACACCTGCAGTTTGGAATGATTTATTTCTGGGACCAAATTCCCCCTTTTCTTCCCAATTAGGTAGTTAACTATCATTTGTTGTTTTAGGTTTAGGGTTTAGTCAGTCGTTAACTGGAAAAATACTCCTTCGCCTTCAGCGTCTTCTCATTCGTTCTGTCACTCCAGACAGTTTACCCCCCCCAGCAGTCCCAGCCTGACGAGACACAGCTGGGGTCTGGAGCGAGGAAGCCACTGCAGCCACCACCAGCGACATGAGCTACACAGTCCAGGCGGCTTCCTCTCTTGCAGAGGTTCTCAAGCTCTTGTGTGGGTTGAAAAATCAAAAAGGGAAAAAAAAAAATCGAATCCCTCCCTCAAACCCCAGGATTTCAAGCGCTGGGAGCTGTTGGGGACACGTGTCAGTATCAGGATGATTAGCATTACTGATCAACCTGCCAGAACTTTATCCTTTGTGTTCATATTAATTTCACGAAGATTAACCCCGCTCTGCAGAGCCATGGCTCTACAGTGCACCCCACGAGAAGCCAGCTGAATTTTTACATTCCACAAATCCCCTCCCCTCCTCGGCCCTGAACGGCCGCAGCAATTCGGTGCTCGTTAAAGGGTAATTATTTCATCCCTAATGAATCCTCCCTCTCCATCACTCTCCCCATAATCCACTGCCTCTCTGATTAATCCTTCTTGTTCACAGTTCAACAGAGATCCCGATAGGCTCTGGGGTACTTTAAATAACTCGAAGAAACGCAGGAGCAACTCACTTCCTGTGTGGTTTTTGCACAGGAAGTGTTGGGTCTTTGCACAGCCTGTGGACCCTTGGTGTTGTGTGGAAAGACGCTAGTAATGTAGATGACTGATGCTAGATATCTGCACACATACATGTACTGCCTACATACACACATTTCATTTGTAGAACTGAGGAATTCAAGACAAATCCTAAGGATCTGTCTTTCTAGATACGTCTTTAAATATGTTTATATATTAGAGCATTATATAAAATTCCTTTAATTCTAAAAAATGTATTCACATTGGATACCTGTACAAAAATACACCACGAATGTGCCTTCATTTGTCTGAAGAAAAGTGTCAATTTTTAATTTAAAATAAAAAAGAACAGATTAAACAGTTGGGTAGAAACTATGCTCAAAACTGAACGTTTTAAGTTCTTGGTATTTATTCAACAAGAACTGGAAAGAAGCAAAACCTTACAGAAATACCCTATCCTATAGTAAAGTTTTAAAAAAACAAGCCTTGCTCTTGTCTTGAACTCCAAGTGAATTTAATTCCAGAAGACCCCTCCTTCACTGTGGTATCTGCCTATGAAGCCGATGTGAACTCACCTCTGCATTAAGACCATCGCAGCCCCGAATCTACAGCGTTCAGTGCTCCATGCCCGTGTGTGCTGCTGTAAACAGGGGGTAACACTTCCATGTGCTGGGCAGTTTGGCAGGGAAAGCTGTTGTTTCCTTTTAGTTTTTCTCTGAGGAATCCAGGGAGGCGTTAAGCCATATATCCCCACCCTCTGGCTCAATCGGAGCATTGTGCTCAGCATTCCAAATCACACCAACCTCCCGCCACACCCACAGAGCGCCGGAAAGGTTACCTTCAGAACAAGTAGCCTCCTGTCCACGCCAGCGCATCTCTACTGATGCTCACAGGCCAGCACGGCGCCACCGCATGGCCGGCCACAGGCAAAAACAGACACCCAGCAGTGGTGACTGGCGGTACGAGTCTGGCCACATCTTGCGCGATATGACGTCGAAAAGGTGCCGCGGTTTTTGGGGTAACTTGCGACTGAAACGTTGTTCGCAGTGCACCCCACTGAAGCTGCAAAGACCTGGAAGCATCCCAGGCCGGAGCTTCTTCTCTTTCTGGAAGAAGAGGAAAGTAAGGGCAGCCGGAGCCGGAAAACCTGTCCAGGGCTACAGTAAGGGAAGGACCGGCAGCTCGGACCTGGAGGGAGCAAAACCAAACCGTCCGCCTACGAGCTACTGGATGACCCGCAACCATGAGTCGGTGTCAAACTGCTTATTGGAATTATGTTGAGATAGTAACTGACTGAACAGTAAAAAAACTTGCATTTCAGCATCTCTGTACTACATCTCTACTTGGAACCAAGGATGGCTCTGTCAGCGTTAGCCCATTCGACCAACCCTTCCAGAGGACTGACCAGTGGCACTGGCCCATGCACTGCTGGTGAGCCATCCTGCTGGCTTCACTGCCCCAGTGCAGGAACTAGAGGCCCAGCCAGGTACTGCGGAGCAGCCTACTCTCCCCAAGAGAAAGCTGATGTCTAAAGAGAATTTCACCCATGGGACAGCACACAGCCTTGTGGCTATTTGGCATGACTCAATGCAACCTGTCACTCTGTGTCTTTTTCCAATAAGATATTATCCAGTCTTTCTATGGACAGTTCTGTCGTATAAATATATGATTTAGACTAGGGTTTTGAGCGACATGCATAGTAAAATCTGCAATTTGTTACAGTACATGGAGAGGCAGCCTAGCAGCCTGGATCATTTTAATTATTAACACTGCACATGCCTGCCTGATGTGGAAGAGCTACAGAAGTGCAGCAAGGATTATTTGTGGAAGAGACTGTCTAACCCGGCTGGGCGTTCACAGGGCAAGTCCATTGACAATGTCCCTGCTCACAGCACTGAGACTGAAACAGTTCACAGCCTGCAGCGCTGGGAGACGCAGGTGTTCCACTGAACCTCAAATAAAAAACAAACCTCCCTTCGCCCCTGCCTGAGCTGGGACAGGCAGGTGAGATCACACCGCAGTGAGTGGAGATGTGCTGTCAACACACAGACACGTTTCCACATCATGCCCAAATCAGCTTGACAGACAGTGCACTCTGTCCTCACTGTTAACTCTGCAGAACTGCCGTGACCCACATATTACCCAGATACACATGGCATTCCACTATAGGGCTGGACCGGCCTCTCTCTACTGCCCAGAGACACGGACAGACTCCAATGCCCTGGGCATTCGAAGAAAAAGCCACAGATCGCGGTGATAAACCAAAACCACAGTAGCAGAACAGCAGGACAGAGTACTTCCTTGGTCACTTACAGACCATGGAAATACTAATGGACAAGGGCAGAGAGGAAAGAAAAAAATCAGATGGAGCAACAAAGTGAAAAGGACTGTCATCTACACAACTGCAGATTTGAAGACCGAGGATTTGTTTGCTGGAGGTGTGATGCTGTGAAAGAGTTAAGTCATCATCTGAAGAGATGAAAATACGTTACAGCAGGAGGACTCATTCTTTGTTTAGGCAATCGTGGAAGCTCGGCGTTTTATGCGTCTGTGACTAAAGCCAGCAGCAATGGGATGTCTACAAAGGACAGTAACAGGAACGAGAACGTCTTTGTTCCGAGCAACCGAAAACAACATAAAATTTGCAAAACAAATCTGAGGAAAATATATACAGGTTTTACTGAGCAGAGAGTGCAAAATATGAAACATCAGAAATATTTATAAGGCACACAGTGTCTGAATCTTTGCCAACAAGAAAACCAGATTTCTTTTAATTTAGCTGTATGTGCACTGCTTCTGAATTCCTGACGCAAAGCAAGAATAATCCAGCACAGCCTCTGCTCTGAAAAACACTCCAACACCTGATCAGAAAGTAGAACTGGCTAGTTCATGTTCCCTTCCTAAACATTCTTCTTTCCCTCTAGTTCTCTTTCTTCGAGGAGAAGAACACTAGGAGAGGAAGAGGGAAAGAGAGAGGAGTAATGTCTCTCCATGAAGAAGGGTCACGGGATCTATCCCACACTCGAAAACAGGAAGCAAATGAGTGAAACAAGAATTGACCACAACAGATAGACATGCTTAATTCAATTAAGAAACAGAAGGTTCCCTGAGGCATTAACTGCACCTTCTGTTTCAGAAACAATTCTGTCGAACGTCATGGCTCCCCACACATGCAGTGTGTTACAGATAAAAACACTGAACGCTGCAAGGGTGACAGGTCACGTGTTTTAAATCTTCCTGACTCAAAGAGCTTCCACCATAGAAATATAGTATATAAACACTGCAGCATATCAGATTCACTTTATATCTTAAAGGTTTAGTTTTAAGAGCTTGATAAGCAAGAATCTTCAGTTTAAAAACTACCAATTTTTAAATGGCTATAGCTTACATTGCACAAAAAATAAAGATGACAAAATATTTTAACACTATACTGTTTTACTCACAGTAACTCCCCGATCTTTTAATATATGCCTTATTGTGTACAATACTCATGCTAAATTGATTATCTGAACTTATTACGAGACTTATCAAAAAGCATTTTTTTCTTTCTACAAATGTAATTCTAAAACGCTATTCTTTTGTCTTTAATTATTATTTTCTTGGTTTCCTGAATTCATGCACT